AGCCCGGACGAAGGTTTCACGCTCGCGTTTCACGACGTCGTATCTGTAACTGTTCTATACATTGCTGTAGAAACTTTTTGCTGGCTCATCATCGTCGTGCGTGTGCACACTCTGGTTCTATGGTAACGTAGACTTAGTTGAAACGAACGAGGGGAACTTTTAATTGGAGGTCCAGCCAGTGCTGCCTCCTCTGCTACGTCGTGCTACGAGACAGATGTTACTCGTTGATGCAATCAATGCGAACTCCTCGGGAGATTGGAACCATTTCTTTGTGTTTATTATTTATTTATCATTCGTATTTACCTGCACTTATTTTTACTATACAAATTGTCTTATTTGATCGATACATAGATAAAATTTTAAGCGCAGAGGTGGGGATTTTTGGATGAAAAAACTTACTATTTGATAATTAAAGATTTATCAATTTTATTTATTTCTTCTATAATTTATAGTTGCAAGAATATTATACATGCTTTTTGTTTACACTTTCCACGTAAATTATAAATCAAAATAGATCTGACTATATATTCAAATTTGGAAATTTCTTTTGAAATTTATATAGAATTGATATCATTGATTAACAGTGAGATTAATCAATTCGGCTTCTGCGAGATTCAATTGACCTTTCGTGATTCACCGACGCAGCCACAGTGACGTTGATGGTACGATAATTGTTTCTTTCATTGTCTTTACCGATGGGTAAATTTGCCATCATTCACGATCTTCGCCTTTCCGAAAACAAGACTCTTGATTTTAAAAAGTTTCTACATCTTCGTGATTCGCGAAGATATTTGAACCCTTTAAATACCTCGTAACTTCTATACATGTTCTTAGACATCTATTTAGTATAATTCAAATGTACTTTCAATATTTGTTGAGATATTCTCATTGAGAAATTTTACGACAGAGTTTCCCTTTAGACTTTATCTTCCGAACAATATTCGGACGTTATATCATCAGAGTGGAATGTCTGCTGATCTTCTAACTAGATCACCCGCTGGCAGACATTTATACAGTCACAAAGATTTCGAGCACATGTTAAACGAACATTGTCGGGACGTCGGCCGTTT